CAGGAACTCTGCGCTATCTCTCCAGAGATTTCTAGGCGAGTTGTCATGGATAACAAGCCTACCAGGTCTCAACTCAAGGAAAACAAGGAGCAAGAACCTACCGGACCTACCGTTGCAAGAATTGTTGGCGACAATGCACCAGCACCGAAGCTTCCATCGCGCATCACAGAAGTTCGCCAGAGTCTCATCAAGATCAATGCTGAAATTAATGGCAACACTATACCTGCGGTCATCGACACCGGCTCTATGATCAACATCGTGCACAAGACCATCTGGGAACAATACATCAAACGACCTCTCGACAGATCTGTTACCTTCCCGGTAAAAGATGTCAATGGCGGAACAGGACGACTAATCGGTTTGGTTGGAGAAGTACCTATCGACTGCGGAAGAGCAAGGACGATCGCCCAATTATGGGTATCGGATTCTATCGACTTCCCTCTTTTGCTAGGGCGACCTTGGACATCCTCAAATTCAGTCGATATTATCGAACGGGACGGCACCTACCTCATATTCAACTACCCGGAACACAACGTGCAACTCGAACTCAAGGTCAGTACCGACTCGGACAACAATACTAATATTTCACAGACCATGGGCCTAACTACGGATAACGGACTTAGCGAAAATCGCGAACGCGCCGGGCCGGAACGTCACCGGTGGCGTGAGAAGCCACCGCAAGACGCGCCTCACGTGCTCGCCACGCGACTACCGGTCATGGAGGAATGCGACACTCGATCTTATCTCTCAGCAACACCGCCACCCCGACGCCCGACCACCGACACCGACGATCTTTTGGACGACATCGCCGCTCCTTCGAACTCGCAACTCGCCCGCGCCCAGTCAAGAGGCGACTCTACGGACCTCGACGACGACGAATGCCAACGCATTCAGGCGTATATTGACGCGGCCATCCGGTCGGGTCAAGGTACGCCTCATGCCCATTCGGATTCCCCGGATCTCGCCGCCGTTACTGACCATCAGCAATTCCTTCTCAGTCTAGGAGATCCTTATCGCGCCCGCCTCTTCACTCGACCACTGCGCGGCGGGGAATGGACGCCCCTCGAAGACTCGATCGCCCATCTCCCAACGGGGATGCGCAGGCTACTCGGTACATACGGCACCTTCGAAGTAACGCTCACCACCTCAGACAATAGGCGGACGCGCGTCCTCGTCACCTTGGCGCACCCTCGAACGGCTCCCGAACACACGCCCTCGCCGGATTTGGCCCGACTCCATCAAGAACCCACCGATATGAATCACCGGCACGACCTCGACTTACCTCATGAAGCCTCATCCGGCAGGATCGACTCACGCGAACGCCTTCAAACACCCAGCCCATCTGACAACAACAATCTGCTCCATTGCTCGTCTTCCCCTCTCGACCTCCACCATGCTCACCGCGGCAGAATCGTCGAACTCGACGATGCCGGTGAGTACATCGGCAGCACTCAAACGTTATCCGACTCGAGCATCTCTAGGCACCCGGCGCGTCCATTGCTCCCTAGGACAATAGCTGGCAGATCGCCGCCAGCGGACGCCTCGATTCTCGAACCGACGATACCCACCACCACCAGCGACACCGGCGAGCCCCCACCAGTCGAAGCCGACCATGAACGCTACCCCGACTCGCGAACCGGAGAGACGCCCGCTACGCCTAGGTCTAGGCTTTGCGAGCGCGGACGATCTTCACCGGTACGTACCATTGCAGAATCTTCGAGGACATCGGTGATTTACGATGTCTCCTTGAAAATTCAGTCGTTAGGTACGTGCCGGGCGAAAATTCGGAGCCGCTCGCAGCGAGACCGATGGGTAGAATCCCCGAACCTCGTACGCTCGACTCAAGACCCCGGACGACTCATCGAATACCTCAACGCGGCCGCCCTGTTTCGAGAAGAGATACACCCGCCTGACGGATCGGACGCGGTACTGTACATCATCGTCACGCCCTCTCCCTACGCTAACAAACACGACGACTCTTCAGCCGACGGTAGCGGAACAAATACACCGAATCGGACACAGGACGTACCTCCCGAAGATCCCCGCAGATGGCCGTCGTCCTTTCGATGCTCCGACCAGATGCCGCGCTCACCTCGCGAGCGGGACACGGGGTTACCACCGAGCGAGCCTAGCAAGGATACTAGAAGCACGGAGGACGTGACAACGAGGTATGCCCGGTACCCCATCTCACGTACTCCGCAGGCTAATCCGAGCGGCGTTCCTCTCCTCCAGCCCGTTCGGTACCGCTCTGCCGAGATTGGAAGCCGTCCGTTCGCGACACGACCAAACGGAGACGAGGCGTCGACATCGCGAAACCTCGCGCACCACCCAGACAATACCGCGTTCGACTCCCAAAGGCAAGATACCCCCTTCGACTCCCGAACCAGGGCGCTGCGCAGGACGATCGGTGAGTTCGCTCCATGCCATCAGAACCAGTCGGCGCGAGGCAAGGCTTACCCAGACGCAATCCAGGCATACTCCGACTCTCGACGAGGAAGGACGGCCCCACTCGACGGCGAGACTGTGGAACCATCGCTCGTCAGGCTCGCTATGCAATCCTACGGCTTTCCTCGGCAACACGTACGGCTCACTCATGGAACCATCGGTCCAGGCTCTCGCGACGAGCATAAAAGCTCAGGTGAGTGTCTGGAAACTCAAGTCCCCAGAAACATTCGCTTACCCTTCGCAAGTCTCTCAAACTGCACGCCCCACTTGAAACCGCCCCGTATGTCTCATGCGCAACCCAAGAATCCGACGACGACCCTCGCGCTCGATGCGTACCCGTCTCCGCCTCAAGAAACGACTTCTCCACTGGATTCTTCGCCCTCGACGACTCTCTCGCAACGGCCCACACCCGGCTCCAACGCGACAGTCAACGGACCGCTCGATATAGGACTCAAAGACGATATGATGTACGCTACTCGTATCCCCCTCTCTGACGCTGAACTCACTGAAATCCTTCGATTCGGCAGAGAGGAGGGCGGCTGGACTCGCCTTCCGGACCCGACTTCCCCTTCGCCGGCGACGATCTATGCTCCGCAGCCCCGCCCTGCTACGAACCCCGACACCTCGTCGAACACGCTACACGCCAGCTCTATACAATTCCCGAGCACACCGCACCCACTCACCGGACGCGTCCTCGACGACGAAGACTATCGGCCCATCGTCACGGAGGCCGAAGGAACAGGCGAAGATGTCGACTTCCCTGGGTACTACCGGGCAGCCGGTTGCCTCATCCCTCTCGGCGACCCTCTATTCAGCGAGAATCGGTTCAAAGCCCCGATCCGTGCCGAATCTCCCCCGTTCTACCCAAACTCGATCCATCTCCTGATGGCCTCCGACCGCTCGTATTTCAAGACTCTCTCGGCGCCTACGACCCCCGAACCAGCTACGCCGGACGACCCGCACTCGTGCACCTATGTCATCAAGCTGGTCCCTCGCGACGACCCTCGACTTAACGGACATCCTTTCAAGCCGAGCAGACTTCCCGGCCCTGGCGAACCCATTGCGTCGCACTGGGTCAACGAAGAGACCCCGCTGCTGTACATCAGCGAAGGCTTATTCCAGATACTATCGGTCGGCTTTGCGCTTCGCCCGTTCCGCGATAGCGTAAGTCGATTCTTTCTTCAATTACCGACGGCCTCTAACTACAAGAACTCACAGGGCACCCTCGAATATCGCAAGAACTTCGACGAAGCGGTGGACCGTCTCCGAGAAGATGGTATCGACCCTTACCCTGAGCTCTTAGGGTATTATCGCGAGGACGGCTACGCCATTCCTATCGGCCAACCGCCCTCGAGCGACCACCGAGTCAAGCTGCCGATCCGAGCCGCGTCTCCTCCAGGATTCCCTCGCGCTATTCACGACCTCGCCATCGCGGCACCACTGGTTTTCCGACCGCTATCCGCACCCTCGACGCCCCGACCCCCTGAAAGCCAGTACCACGTCTCGAGGACGTACGTCCTCGAACTGGTACCGCACGGCGACCTCAGGCTCTGTGGCCGCATGCTCCGAAGCAGCCGGCAGCCTCTGCACGGAGAAAACATCTCACCTCACCAAACCGACGACTCGACTCCCCGGATGTACTTCGTCGAGGACGACTTCAACATCCTCGTCAGCATGACGCGAGAAGCGCGATCTGATGCTTCTAGCATCGACTCACCGAAGAACGGCTCTCTTCCGACGACGCAAGTACAGGACGAGGAGCTCCAACAAGCTCTGCTCAACGGCGAGTTCCCCGCTCTGCCCGACGAATACTACGCCGCCGCTGGATACGCGATTCCCATCGGGGAACCCCCCGACAGCCCCCTTCGAGTTAAAGTCCCTATTCGCGCCGCTTCACCACCTGATCTCCCCGGCTCAATCCACGACCTCTCAAAGCAGATGCCGCGCATCTACCGCCCGCTATCTGCGCCGACGACACCCGATCCACCTGCACGCGACTATCCGACATCATGCACTTACGTTCTCGAACTCGCCGACGACCGCGACCCTAGGCTGGCAGGAAAACATCTCAGGGCTATGTACTACAATCCCGACGACATGCCCCGCCTTCTTTTCAGCCATGGACTGTTCAAACTGCTGGCCCGGGTCTCGCATCAAGCCATCAGCAACCGAGCCCGCGAACAGGTAAGCCGGTCGACTTATGCTCTCAGAAACTCACCGGTACTAACATCGACACAGGAGCTCACGGAAATGCAGGCACGACGTCAGCGTCTGGAATTGCCCGACATCGACATGGACGCCTCCGATCTTCAGGGCCCCATGCGCACCAACGCACTCGTTCTATCGCCCCCGGTCCCGCCTCACCTATCGCTTCCCGATCCGCTGACGACACTTCAACACACACCGCTAGCCGGAAACAAGCTCTCACGACGCCTCGACAGACTCAGGATCGCAGAAGGACCCGCAGCTGAAGACCGCCCGCCCACACCTCGACCGCCGATGGAAGGAATCGAAATCAGCGTAGAGCATCGACTCCGATTCCCGCCTACGAACGTCATCCTCAACGACCCCGGCATGCCGTACTATCGCGCCGACGGTTACTTGATTCCCATCGGCGAGTCTCCGACCAGCGCCAACCGGATCAAGATCCCCATGCGACTTCAGACGCCTCCAGGGTACCGCGGCACCGTCCACGCACTCTCGCAGGTCGACCCGTCCCTCTTCCGCCCGATGTCAGCGCCTCCGACTCCCGAACCAGCACCCGAAGACTATCCAACCTCGCAACGCTACCATCTCTTTCTCGACGCACCCCGGGACCCGGCCGAACGCCAATCTCCATTCTCCATCGAAAGCTCTCTGGTACCTCCTCAAGACGATCGCCCCTCGACGCGAACGCTACGGGACTCGGACCCGTACCTCTGGTTCGACGAGGCCCTTTTCGACTACCTCCATATCACTTACCCCCTCGCCGACGGATGGAGCAACAACATCAACGATCCAGCGACGTGTCTCCCCGGCCCCGAAGGAGGCGACGCACCCGAGTTGCCCACCGTCGACGAAGAGACGCACCTCGCCGAATACGACCGCCTCACCATCAACTACCCGGTCTCCACCGAGCGCACAACGGTGACGCCGCCCCCGTCTATCTGGCGCAATGAGAACGATCCGAGGTACGTCTATCTAAACTCGATCTTATCCCCTAGAACTCATCACCTTGAACACACTAGCAGCGGCCCCGTACCGGCCTTCTCGCGCTCGGACACGACGACACCCGCGAGCGAGGAACGTCCTCGAACCCCCACCGGCCGCCAACGAAGCATGTTCCGGGTCATGTACGACCGGATATGCGAACTCACGGAAGCTACTCAGTTCACCGTGGCCGCGATCGCCACGCTCCTGTCAAGCCACGCCTCGTTCTATCGCACCGCCCGCTCTCAGCACGACGCCATGCAAGCGGCTCTCTCGCAAGTCCTCGAACAGGTCGCTGCCACGTCCGACGCCGTCGCCGAATACGCTACCGACCACCGAAACTTCGTGGACCGACTCACCGGCGACGTACTCGATCTCCAGCTCGACATCAATGCTATCCGCACCAATGTCGAGGCCTGGAACTGGACACCGGAGGACGGCGACGAAGTCGACGGTACGTTATTTCTCTTCACCGACAAACCGCCGCCCTCGCTAACTACTACTCAGTCGACCATATTCTGCGCTCTTCGTCCAGCTCCAGCTCAGACATCGACATACCCGCCGCCGACTACAACGACCTCCAGCCGTGAAGACTCCGCCGAGATGACCCCTCAAGATGCTACGCGCCCCCAAGCATGCTCGCAACCATATCATTCCACCCGCTCCGGCCTGCGTCGCTCTCTAACTACACGAAACATGCGCTCGGACTCGCGATCGACTATACGCGATATGGATTCGGACTATGTACATGTACCACCCTCCCCGGCCTCGCAAACTCGTATCCTCCGTCCCGCCGATTCCCCGACTCCTCCGCCTCGGTTATGAAAGTTCCCAGTAGTGTAGTTACTCTGCCTGTAGCTCGGAAAGTCATGTATCCCTTGAGCAATGATATCAAGAATGTATGGAATGACTTACCTAGCGAATTACCGGAAATCCTGAGCCTCGGACTTCGAGTTTCTGAAGCGCCACCCACCGGGCCGTCGGAGTTTGAATCCACGGAGGATGAGTGGGTCACTGCGATATGGCTCGGAGATGCGGCCGACTTACCGGAGAATGTGCGAAATCAGCCCGAAGTGATATACCTTAACTCACAAATGTCATATTTCAGCTCTAACGCAGTACAAATGAGGGCTGAAGATGATATTGACAGCCAGGCATATAAAGCCTCGAACGGACTGTCTAGTAACCGTGAGAAAGTGAACCAGGAATTTGGCCAAACCGGGCGGATTGGCGATAAGGGACCGAAACATGGACTTGTGAAAAATCCCGTGTTAGTATTTGGCGCGTACAAACGAGTTGACAGGAAAATCAAGCCAGTACCTGGAGTATACCCAGAGGATGCCAAGGTAACCAGGCAGTTTCCTCGCAACCCTCTGACTGGCTTGACAAAATTACCGGAGCGCCCACCTGACTTTACTCCAACTCAGAAAATAACCCAAGAACGGATGAATGCTATGGACATAAATAGTGATCACTACTTATGGCCGGAAGAGGAGAAACTGATAAAGCATGTTCTAGTTAAGAATGAACGTGCGCTCGCGTTCGAAGACTATGAAAGGGGAATTTTCAGAGACGACTATTTTTCGCCATATATTATCCCTGTGGAACCGCATGTCCCTTGGGAGCATCCAAACATACCCATACCTCCAGGACACAGAGAGGAAGTTATCCGCATGCTCAAAGAATTCATCGCTCATGGAGTATACGAACCAAGTCAATCGTCATATCGGTCAAAGTGGTTCTGCGTAGCAAAGAAAAATGGCAAGCTTCGAATAGTGCACAACCTAGAACCACTCAATGCGGTCACTATTAGGGATGCAGGACTACCCCCCAATCTGGACGACTTTGTTGAACCCTTCGCGGGACGAGTTGTGTATACGGTCTTTGATCTATTTTGGGGATTCTATGCAAGGAAACTTGACCCCAAAAGTAGGGACATGACATCATTTATGACACCTCTAGGCCTGCTGCGCATTGCGTCATTGCCCATGGGATTTACTAATAGCCCAGCAGAATTCCAAGCCTGTATGATGTTCATCCTACAGGACGAAATACCGCATGTAGCCAACATCTTCATAGATGACCTACCTATCAAAGGGCCGACTACTATGTACCTGGACAAGAAGGGCGACCCTGAAACACTGCGCAATAACCCCGGTATCAGACGCTTTATGTGGGAACACATCAATGATGTTCATCGGATCATGCACCGCATCGGAGAAGCCGGAGCAACCTTCTCAGGAAAGAAGACACAAATTTGCAAGCGAGAAGTACTGGTAGTAGGGCACAAATGCACACCTGATGGACGGTACCCCAATGATTCGGCAATTGAGAAAATACAGAAGTGGCCCCTTCCCCAGACTACTAAAGCTATTAGGGGATTCCTAGGACTCTGTGGGACAGTGCGGATATGGATCAAGGACTACTCCCTGCATGCGCGCCCATTGACAGAGATGGTACGGAAGGATGCTGAAGTCGAATGGGATGAAAGGCGACTCCAAGCATTCAGGACGCTCAAAGACAAAGTGTGTAGCGCACCTGCCCTCATGCCCATTGATTACACATCCCCTAGAACGGTAGTGCTATCAGTCGACTCAAGCCAAATAGCCGTTGGATTCGTGTTATCTCAACGAGACGAAAACGGTAAGAAGCGACCAGCTCGATATGGCTCCATACCCATGAACTCAGTAGAAGCTAACTATAGTCAGCCCAAACTCGAATTGTATGGTTTATTCAGGGCGCTACGGCACTTCCGATTGCATCTAGCAGGAGTAAAGAACCTGGAAGTGGAAGTGGACGCTTTATACATCAAGCAGATGCTTAACAACCCGGACTGCTTCCCCAATGCCACAATCAATCGATGGATCCAAGGCATTCTCATGTTCCCGTTCAAACTCGTACATGTTCCGGCAACGCGCCACCAAGCCCCAGATGCGCTGTCTCGTAGAGAGCCCCTGCCAGAGGACTCTGAGAACCCTGACGATTCCCCAGAAACAGCGGACGAATGGCTCGACAGCATTGCACTAGCTGTCACTACCCAAGGAAAAAACATCCTCAAGGTCCCAATCAACAGTATGACTCCGGCGGAATTAAGGTTGTTAGAAATCAAGGCATTCTTAGAAGACTTACAGCTGCCAGAGTTTGCAGATATCACGTCCAAGAAACGATTCCTAAACAAGGCAGCACAGTTCTTCACAGAACACGGAGCAATGTTTAAGAAGCGTCGTACGGCACCACCGGCAAAAGTTATTTTCGATAAGACCATTCGCCAGAACATTCTCCTGGAAGCACATGAGAGCCTCGGTCACCGCGGAATAGAAGCTGTATTTCAAACCGTTAAGCTCAGATTCTATTGGCCAGGAATGTATCAGGACGTACAACACCACGTACAAACATGTCATCAATGTCAGATCCGCAGCACTAAGAAGGTTGATGTACCATTGGCTATCAGAGTGCCTTCAACCATATTTACTCGAATTTATGTTGACAT